CCATAGTCTTTTGAGTTATTTAAGAATGTTTGCTTTTTCACTGTACCTTACGAAGCCCATTTGCACATTAGGACGTGCCAGGGTGAAGAGCTGGTGAGGCTTACCACGAAGGAAAGAGAGAAATGAAATGATAAAAGCTGAAGTCCTAAATCTTCAGATAAGGATGCATTTTCTTGTCTCTTCTTAAAACATACCCGCCCCAAACCGATGTTAAAAAATCCGGAAAGATGATCCAATGGTTGGAAAAAGAAATTGTAGCTACCAATAAAGGCTAAAAGCCTGGGAACCGACAAGCTAGGAAACAGAACAGAACTAAAGACCCTGTTCAGGGGGTCTATAATAATTTTGTTTGTTTTTCTGGGATGAGGGTTTACCATTATTCACACTATTTATATTCAGAGTATTGTCCACATTTTTACTGTTATCAAAATGGTCTAGTGGATAAAAGCATTGGTTTAAGAATTTGATGATAGTGGTTTTGAGTTCAATCCCTGGGCCAGACAGTGTATACTTGGATTCGGTGAAAACAGATGAGCAATAACTGAACAGTACTAAATAAAAACAAGATTTGGACGACACCTTCAGACATGAGCTGGGAATGAGAACAGTCTATGCCTGTAAATTAAATAAAGGGTTCAGTTCAGAAGTCCTTGTAGGTTACTCAGATCGATACATACCTGAGGAAGGCTGGAAGATACAATGGCTGAAATGTTGTGATAAAAACAACAAAAATGAAGACAACAGTCTAAATGTGAATAGTGTAAATAAGGATTTAGAATACTAATAACAGTAGTTGTGGTAATAATAATAATAATAACAACAGTAGAAAAGAAGATTTAGGGTCAGTTTTTTTCAGCACACAGAAACAATCACTGGACTTGAGAGTAGGTTGTTTTTATTTAGTAGCATATCAACAACTCTATGGGTCATTTAATAACAAAATCTAAATATCTTGTATGCAATTTTATGGCTTCATGTTTTTAGATATATAGTTTGTAGAGAACAAAATGTATTGTTGGTAATTTTTTGAAATATATTGATGGTAATTCTGTTATAAAAATGTATTTTTCTACTCTTTTAGTCTTGCATTGATTGTCAATTCTTCCATAAAAATGTGTTGTTGGTCATTTTATTATAAAAATGTATTGTTGGTCATTTTACTACAAAAATGTATTATTTATAGTATTTTTTTTATAAAAATGTATTGCAACTAATTTCACTACAAAAATGTATCATTGGTAATTTATTTATAAAAATGTATTGCTGGTAATTTTACTATAAAAAAACATTTTGAATTTTGTTTAGAGGTTCATTTTTTGCCTATATCTGGGACCCTAACAGGTGCTACCACCCCAGGTCAGGGTGAACAAGGCAACACCAGCAATTAAGAGGTGGTTCTATACTCTTCAAAACCTCCAGTCTCCTGATCAGAGACTTTGCTGCTGGACGTAGTTTATTATCATACCCAAGACTAGAAGCTGAGTGGTGTTGGGTAAAAGATATTTTTTTCTAAAGAGGGAAGCAGTGTCACTTATGTTTGTAGCACATGAGCAGGCCATCAGAATGAATGCTATTAAAGCCAGGATAGACTGAAGAAAGCAAATGCAGGATGTGTGGACAAGGTGATGAGACAGTTAACGACATACTCTCTGGATTTCTCAAACTGGCACAAAAGATGTGTAAAGGAGGACATGATTGGATTGGTAGTAGAATTCATTGGAGAATATGTCATAAGTTTTGCTTCAGTGTAAAAGAGAAGTGGCAATTGTAGAAAATGGCAGTCACAAGATATTATTGGATTTCTCAGTTCAAACAGATCATGTAATTGAAACACAAATATTTGATTATATTGTTATAGATAGGAAAAATAGCAAGTGTCACATTATTGACTTTGTTCTTCCATATGATACAAGAGTAGGTACCAAAGAAATCTGGTTAGAGAGCTGAAGTAGCTATGGAATATGACTATTGAAGTAATTCCAGTAGTGATGGGTGCACTTGGAACACCACCAAAAAACTGAAAAAGCACCTAGGGAAAAATGGAATTGAGAGATTGCAGAAGTAAAGAAAGAGTTTATATGAACAATTATATCATATTTTATATCAGAAATATTTTTAATCGGATTGAAGGAATAAGGAGACTGAGAATGAAAAGAAAAAGAGGAAGTGACTAAGGGATTTTAGAAGAATATGAACAATGTAAGATATAAAATAAATACAATAATAACTGATAATTCTCTCATATATCAAGAAACAAATGGTAAAAAGGAATAGAAGCATCTCTGAAATTATTGACGATAATGAATGATTATATTGGATAAGAACATTCGCCTGTCAGCCATTCCAATGGTCAAATAAAGAATTCTGCAAACAAAGGATCTGTACAAAAAAAAGGAAAAGAAAGTAAGAAAGAAAGAAATAGAAAGAAAAAGAATTTTGAAATTCCAAGAATGATAATGATTACATTGTGCAGAAATATTAGGAGGCACAATGAAGTAAAAGTGCTTAGAGGAATTGAGTCCAAGATTGTAGACCTCCAAAAACCTGCCATCATTTTACTCTGAGTATTCTCTGTAAAGTACTTGAGCTATGAGGAGTCTTGTTGGCACCATGCATCAAGAATAGAATTTTCATTGACTATGTCAGTGAGTGACACCAACATAATAATAATAAGAAGAAGAAAAATGTATACGAAATACCAAGTTAAATTCACAAAACAGAATGTCAGTCATAAACATTTTGGCTCGCCTTGTGGTGCAGGATACTTTTTAACCTCCTTAACTAGACCATAATTGACATTAAGCAAATGGCTGTCAAATGAGAAAGCTTCTCACTTGCAACATCATTTTGATTGTCTGTATGGGTCCACATTTGAAAGAAGCAAAAATTGGTTCAACTAGAACTGCTTTACAAAATGACAACAATTGGTCTTTGATGTGATGGAATAACCTGCCACCCCATGAGTGGCGGCACTATAGGTGTTAAACACCCATGAGTATCCATGAGGATAGCAGATGGGAGAGTCGAGCTGGGATCTTTCCCAACTGCGCTAGTTGAACTCTCTGCCTTCGGGCAGAGAGGAACCCGGATGAGGCTATGCTGAAGGGCAGAGTTTTGTCCGGGGAGGTAGACAGACCCGATCCCGTTTATGTGGAGTCTACGGGGATTTTTTGGCCGAGCCTACAGGCTCAGTAACCCCACATTAAATTTGGCCTTGTGCCACATGTGACTGTGTCGGGCAGTTACTAAATAGCGTTGAGCTGGGATCTGAAAGAACTAGTGGCCTTCTGAAAGCAGACGCACAGAACTGTACTGATTTGCGATGACCATGTGCATAATTATTACTTCCTTGCTTGTTGTACTGGTTTCTACAATAAACCTGTTACTATTTATCCACTGTGTTTGTCCATTCCATATTCCTATTAGCACGGAATATAACAGTCTTCAAAGATACCTTGAAACAGTAGACAGGAGGATGATCTGTGTCAAAGAATATGAAAGAAATAAACTTTATTCCATAATAAAGAAAGCCAACAAATTCTAAGAGGAATCTCAAGAGGGTGAAGAAGAGCAAGTAAACCATAATCTGTCTATTGCAGCAGCAAGGAACCTAAAACAGAAGGCAAAAACAAATGCAGTGAACCAAGAATAATAAAGGGAAGGAGTGTGAACAGGGTGATAGGTGAATATCTATTGCTCAACAATGAAAATGAAAAAAGAAGAAATGCTAGATGCAGACTATCAAAATAATAAAGACATCAATAACATTATAAGCAACTAAGTGTTAGATAAGTGTTAGATAAGTGTTAGAGAAATGAAAAGAAATGAAGTTAAAAGCCAATATTGTTAATGAGCTTCAGGGAAAATAAAAAGAACACCGAATTAGTTAAGCACCTTACTTCACATGACCTCCTTTCAAATAAACAATATGGCTTCCATTTCCCCAAGTCTACCACTGATATACTAACAGCCAGTACACTGAATTTGTCTATCAAGCTTTAGATAAAAACAGTAAGGCTCAAGCTGTAGTCCTAGAAAGACATTCAACAGGGTTTGTCATGCTGGCCTTCTACACAAGCTCAGGAGCTACAGTGTCTCTGGATGAATATCTGGCCTAATCCAATCATTGTATGTTGAACGGATATGCTTCTATTTCATTTCATATTAATGCAGGGATCACCCAGGAGTCTAACCTCAAACCCATGCTATTTCTGATCTTCATCAACAAACTTCCAGATGTCATCAGTTTCCAACTAAGTATCTATGCAGATGATTATTTACTCCTGTCTTAGTAGAAAGTCTGATATATCCAACAAAGTAAAACTGATAACGGCTCTCAAAAAGGAGATCAAATCAGTGGTTAACTGGGGCAAGTAATGGCTTGTAAATTTTAACACCTTCGAAACAAAATTGCTTTTATTTAATCACCATAGAGAATCTTTTCTACTTGACACCAGAATGGCTGATGCTAAACTCCAGAAGAGCAACACTTTGCACCTTGTTGGACTCATGATTTCCATTGACATGTAATGGAAAGATTATATTGAATCAATTGCCAGGTCTGCTGCTCGGAAAGTGGGTTCACTGTGTCATATGAGACTTGTCAGAATCCATTTTGCATATTTATAAATCTACCATTCGTCCATGAATATCTGGTTTGGTGCTTCTTGCTGTATATCTTGAGGTTCATGACAAAATTCAAAGAATGGTCTCTAATGTAATAAATTGTGATGAGGCATCTTTACTTCAGTTATTTTCCTACTGACTTGATGTGGCTTCCCTCTGGCTTTTCTA